GGGAGCACCGTTTATGGCATCGCAATAGAAACCATGCTAGTTCCCATAATATCTGGTAGCTTGATTTTTTTTTTTCATTTTTCTTGCTTCTAGGCTTTTTAACCCTCTATAAAAGGTAACAAACTACAGCTTTGCACTAGACTCTATATAGACCCATGTCAATTACCCATCTTAAGAAATTATAAAAAGACAATCTGGTCTTGACTAACTCCCTTTAAGGTCACTTAAATGATTGACACAAAGCAGACAAATGTAAAAGGTGATGTCTTGTTTTAATAGCTGTGCCAAAACAGAGAGCGGGGATACTTCCTGTCCCAACGCAGCTATTTGAAACATACAATCTCTGCTTTAAGCGACGCCAATCCTTGTGGTGTCCGCTATGAGCATAGCAAAACTGAGGTAGTCAACCTTGTGCAGGCTCAGCATAACCAATTCTAATAACCACTAAATGCTGCTATTCCATTCTCTTAGATGTGTTATGTCTGAACACCGGGAAAGCTTGTTCAACTGGTAGCGTCTAACAGACACATGTTCCCATAACTAGGAGGTGGGGAAGAGTGCGTAACATTGCAAGATTAACATGATTCTTTAAAGTTTTTGAACAATGTCGGATCCAGTCATTTGCGTCATCCAGTGCGCCACGCAGAAGATCACACAGTTCAGATGATCTCGGTCCAAGAGCTGTAGTTTGTTTACCTTAGTGGGCAAGTTATCAAAGATCTGATGCAAAATGTTTTGGGGGCTTTACTGTTCACCTAGAACAGCATACTGGTTGTCTAACTGGAGTTGGAGAGCCTGGTTCTTTGCAGCTTCTTCTCTTGCACGGTTTTTATGCTTCACTATTTCAAAAGTCTTCTCCATTTCTTTATCTCTGTTTTGAAAACAAATGCCATCAGGAGTTTACGTTATGCATAATACAGACAATAGAACAACATTACAGTGACATGGTCTTTCTCCCCAATAATAAAAGGGGTGTTCTAATCGCCTCTCTGGTGGCCTGGGTCTACCATCTTCAATCTGTTGAAGCAATACAGCCTCCATAAGTCTTCAGCATTTAACACTTGCAGGAATGTGGGATTCGTGTGTTCCCCGCATTGTCTTGTCGGTCCCTCTGCCAACTCCTCTAAACTACAAGGTACAGCAGTGATGAACCACACGGCACAGCGGGGGCAGAGGAATCAGTCATGGCCAGACATGTCAAATGCTGAAGATTGGCCAGGGCTGTAACACTAAGAGAATGAAGATTGGACAACCAGGCCACCACAGAGGGAAGAATACTTTTTCTATTAGAGGAAACGGCTTTAAGGAGTCTTTCTGGGGCAACGACAGTGTTCAATTCTACAATAAAACATTTCTGGAACGTTTAAATATATGTGGGGTCTAGAGGACAAATTGAAAAACCAACACCTTCATTTATTTACCAACCTCCCTCTTAAAATAAACATGTCATGACAGCAGTACATGCCTCTTCTGGGTTCCTGACTTACTAAACTATTGAAGCTATAGGGTCACCATGAAACTAGCACTTTCTGACGCAGGGTTCAGCAATCGTAGGTTCCCACGGTACCCATGGCAGGTTTCCTTTAATGCAAATACTTCAGTTAAAGTGCAAAATGGGCATTACCCCCCGTCGATGGCAGCGGGGCCCAGCGGCTATGTTTACATGTGTAAAGCCGACCTATCCACATCAGTTCGCTGATCTCCTCCCGCTCAATAAAAGCGGTAGCGACACTCAATGCATCACTTCCAGTTTGTGAGCTGACATTCTGGGGCTAGAGAATCCAGGAAAGAAGCGGTGGTTACACAGCTTTTGTGCAAAGGTGACATTAGGGGTCTAATAGAAAAAATAAAGGAAAATAAAATACATTTAAAAACCCCATAAATGGCCCCCATCCCAGCGAACATGTATCTCCTAACTAGCTAGGTGCGCCTATGTACGAAAGCCTTGATTGGCCACATGCTAGGTATCGCCATGTGCACCAAAGATCAATAATTCTAGGACCATTATTCATGTTCAACACTAAACTGATGACTAGGAATGCACCTATCAGCCAAAAATGGCACTTCTGGCATAATGCCAAAAGTGTCATTTTTTTGCCCGAAATAACAGTGCATCCCAGCTTTCTCTAGTCCCCACTGGGCACGGCTCTGTGTCCCAGCAGGGAGGAGAGAAACTGACAGGAGGCCGAGCTGTGCAGGGCGGGGGTGTGCCGTGAGCGGCCGGCATCTCTCCTCCCACAGCACTGAGCTTCCTGTCACAGGTCAGGAGAATGGCGGTGTGGGCAGATACAGCTTGCAGTGCTGTCGCAGGAGGCTGAGCTGCTCGTGTCAGGATGAAGAGCGGTACAAACATTCAGTGATCGCTGAGTGTTTGTAAATAACTGACAGAGTATGTTGACTATATCAATTATGAATGAATGGGAAGCGACAGTAGTGATAGTTATAGTAAAACACACAATGTTCAAGTTATGAATGAACAGGAACTCAGAGGATTCCTGTTCATTCATAACCGGGGCTGCAGAAAAAGAGATAGAGGACTCTGTGTCCTCAATCTCTTTTTCCATTTTAAAAAGGGAAATATCAGGGGTCTCTTTGGACCCCTAATATTTCACCGAAGCACCTCAAAAGTAAAAAATATTGAATAAAAAATAAGAAAATTTAAAAAAAAGTTTACAAAAAAATAAAAAATAGAATTCAGGATCTACGATCTGTTGCCCTGGGTCCTTCAATGAACGGGAGAGAAAAGGATTTTCGGTGAGTACAAAAATCCTATTTAAAAATTTGAAAAAGTTTGAATAGAAAAAAAACATTTTCCGTTTCGGCCTGACTTTCTCATCTCCGTTTTGACATTTTCATTTCGGCGCACCTCTACAGGCTTTTAAAACATCACCTATGGACAATTTAGGGTACCGTACTTCCACACATTTACATGGTCACACGCAATTTAAGCTTTGCATGTTTGGGATTTACTTGTCTCAACCTCATCTATTTTACAAAAAAAATTGGGTATTGCGATTTAGTGCACCAAAATTAACTTGCGTGTATTTTTTACTGATATTTTGGGTTTGATAAAGAGTTGCACTATTATGCGACAATTTTCAACTGCCACCATTTTATTCTACAAGGTCTCTGATTTCAGGAAATATATCATTGGGGAGGACGTGTGGGGGGTTTAAGAAGTGTTCAGGCCTAAAATGTGGATTATCACGAGTGCAAAAACAGCTTTGGCAATGGAAGGATTAAACCCAATATGTGACACTTACAATAAGGTTCACTGGAGTCCCATTCACATTGGCAACCAAGCTCCACTCCCATGGTGAGCAAAACTGACTTATTACAGGCGCAAGGATCTTATACCAACCCTCACTGAATACATGGACCCCTTTGAGCCCCCAGCACCAAACAGTATTGAGAATGTCCTTCATATAGAACTGCTGGAGAAATTTGTGATCCATAAATCTGATTATTGCGATAAATGCCTGCTACTGCAATGTCACACCACATAAATATGCAACAGGAACTTTACACTGTATTTGATGACACACACAATGAAGTACTTGCCTGCGGGACTCTATATGCTTGGCAGTGGCTTGTAGCGATGGGAACTGAGCATCACTAAAAATTTCTGGGGGACCCTGGGGTTTCCGGGGTGCAGTAGAGGATCTGGCAGCAGGGGGTCTATATACACCAGACTGTACTCCAGACTCTGCAACTTCAGTTACTGGAAATGATAGGAAATTAAACATGTTAAACAGTTTATGAAATCAGGTATTTTCTGAATTAACTTATGTGGAAGTTTAAAAAGTTAAACAGAATAATGTGATTTATGGTTCCGCCTTCTACATGGTCTCACCAATATTTACGGTAGGCTGAGCAGTAGCAGGCTTATTCCAAGGCCCCACTGCCTTCTCTGATCCAGAGCCACCAGCCTCTTCCCAGTCTGCCCCTTGATCTTCTTTCTTCTCATTTTCATCATCTTCCTTTTCATTGCTGCAAAAAAAGTACATTGCAGAAGGACATTACATTCCTTTCAGGCAGCAATTAAATAATTGATTTTTTTTATATTATACTTGTAAGGCATGAATGCATGAACTGTGCATAGCTGGAAATGTTCATGCTTTCCTTGTTGCCAAGAAGATGAGCGTATAGCTTCCTGAAGAGTGTTCTAAGACGGCACATTTTTACAACATCTACAACGCCCACATGACATTTGATAAAGAAACCATTTACCATTGTGCTTGCTGGTATTACAATACGTAGTTTTAAGGGCATTTTTATATTTAGACATGATGGAAATAGAAATAAAGCATGGCCATGGCATAGGTCACAGGTCCATTATTGATCATGTGCATGCCAGGAAGAAAAGCAACAGCTATCTTTCATCAGAGAGTCACTATGTTGTATTTCTTTCCTCCGTGTTAAAGAAACTGTAAAACATTTTAAATAATGTATATAACACAAGTATCACCAAAACAGAAATGCTTTAAATATGACCTATAAATATATTTAATAAACACTTTCTATTTTGGTTAGGGCTGCAATGATTATTTTAATAAATCGATTAGTTTGTCGATTTTAAAAACAATGAAAAAAATACCATCTTTTATTTAAAATAAACACAAATGGTATTAAAAACAGTTTACTTTAGAATAAAACTGCGTGCACATTTTGGGTGGGCGGTGCGTTAGGGGTGTCATTGAAATGAATGCACAGCAACGCACATTCTGCAGCAGAACTTTTCAAGCAAAAACTTTCACACTTTTATATATTTTTTTAATTGCATGTATTAGACATTTTAATTAGTTTCATGGATTTAAAATAATCTGGTTTTTAAAAATTCCAACCAATATAATTAAATAACAAACTTTTTTTTTTAAAGAACACGCCAAACCAGACAGACAAGACTCATGTTTCCGTTAGTATGCATGGCTTGATAGCCCCCCAAACAGCAGAAAGGCATCATGGCACACTCACAAACCAGCATGTAAAACAACTTGTCTCACCACTGAGGATAATAACAGAGGTTTGGATACACGTCTTCTGCAGAAAATGTGAAAGCCGCACTGCCGCGCCAAGGCACCTCTTATAGTGCGGACTCTAAACTATGAGAGTCTCCATCTTGGAGCACATGGGGGCAGAAGATTTCAAATTGGGTGCCCCCCACCCCCCTAAGTGATATCACATTGGCACCTAATGTCACCGTTCCACTATAAGGGTGCGTTCACGCCATATGCAGTGCGTTCCGTTCCGATTCTGTCCGGAACGGACCGCATCGCATTGTGGCCGGCTCACTGTGTAGGGGAGGAGGGGGCATGGGGGGCCATTGAAGTGAATGGCACCGTAGCCACACCCTCCGGCCGCAATGCGATCCCCCGCACGGGATCACAAGGCACATTGTGTCTGTTGTCCAGTGTGATCAAAATAGTGCTTGCAGCATTTTGATCGTACTGCCCTGAACCGCAGGCACAATGTGCCTTGCGATCCCGTGCAGGCTATCGCATTGCGGCCGGAGGGCGTGGCTACGGTGCCATTCACTTCAATGGCCCCCCATGCCCCCTCCTGCACCGCAAAAAGTGAGCCGGCCGCAATGCGAGGCAGTGCGTTCTGGCCAAAATCGGGCCGGAACGCACTGCAACTGGTGTGAACAGGCTCTAATAGTTTTAACTGGGGGAATGCCGGGTGTAAAACACAGCAGGCAGTGGCTTGAAACAATAGCCATCCTGCTATTCTAAGTCAGTCAGTAGCCAGCCTGCTATTGAAATTTAATATAGCCAATAGCAGGTTGGCGATTGTTCCCAGCTCCTGGATAGGTACTTGACGCTGGCTTTCTACCGCCAGCAGAAAAGGGGGCCCGGGGGCAGCAGAGAAGCCGGGGAATACAGAGGAGGCACAGGGGCACAGCAGACGTTCCGAGGGAATGCAGAGAAGGTGGTTTCAACTAATCAACGAATTAACGATTCTCTATCGATCAAATAGTTGTTTCAGCCCTAATTTTGGTGATACCCGTGTCATATACCTGCTTTCCCCTTTATAGTATTGCCTGATGGCAGTGGCCTTTTTCAGCAAAATGCACTAGGGTTGCAACTAATCGGTAATGAGAATAGTTATCAATAGTTAAAAACCTGTTATCTTTCTCAGTGCTGACAAATGTAATTTCTTATGTCCATCATATTTGTTCAGGAACCCAAAACTCCCATACTCCGACAAAGACTTGCATAAAGCTGGCCATACACAGCTCGAATTTTGACCTGCTGACCAAAATTCAAGTTGTGTGTGGCCCTGTCTGCACCACTCCATTCAACAAAAGTGGATTTTCCAATCCACTTTAGTTGAATGAGCCAGTTGAACGGTCAGCCAATACCCTTGGACCATTTCTATCGGTCCTTTCTTCCCCTACAACTTTGTATGGTCATCCTACACCCACGTCCTCCTGTGCATTATATGGAATATGAAAGGGCAAATGAAGGTGTAAGCAAATGAAGCTAGCAGAACTTCCAAACTTCATATGTTATGCATTATAGCATAGGAAGAGAAGGGCAAGAAGACTCCAAACACAACACACATTGCGTGATGAACATACTCCAAAAAATGGTTTGGTTACATTACCCTCCCTTTTAGATTGTAAGCCCTCATTACCATCTTGTCTTGATTTGTATTGTAATGTTTTCCCTATATTGTAAAGCGCTGCGCAAACTGTTGGCGCTATATAAATCCTGTATATTAATGCAATACCTTATCTGCAATGACTGGAGACGGAGTCCACTGTAATCGACTTCTTTCTGTTCAAATTCTTTCCATTCATCATCCTCCTAAATAAAAGAACAAAGTCACATTAGGACAATGGCAAATACTTGGTAAAGTGTTGGCATTTGAAGAAATAAAAAAAGGTTATAAGGGACTGGACAGTACAAACTACAAATAGAGTAATGGGTAGGTGACAGCAATGTCCAGGGAACAGAATCACATCAACCAAGTGTGATTCAGTGTGAACACATTATGCCAACATTACCGGACTTTGCATGAAAGTAGCACATTTATTTAAACAGGCTTCTGAATTCATCACTTGCGATGAAAAACTTCCTCCAGTGCAACACAACCTGCAGTAGTGTTACCGTGCGCTAGGAAGACACTGGTGTGTAATGCAGAAAAAGGCTACACATTATACCAAAGCCTTACCACAGCACACTGGTGTAAATTGACCCATCTATCAGCATCACCAGGTCCACTAAACCTCCTGCAACCATTTCCAGAAGGTCTCCACACGGCCATCTTCATGAACAGAAGATTTTAGAAAATAAAGAGGAAGCGTAATATTCCTTCTGCCAGAGCAGGAAGACTGAGACTTGAAATGCCCAGGTCTATGAAGCTGGCAGGCAATTCATCCCGCAAGCAAACCCCTAGAACTAAAATATCAATTTGTGATAGACCGCTTACTTTAAAAGAAACACCTGCTGAATTCCTAACGTGAATTGGAACGCAAAACCATTCATCAAGTAAAGATTTTAATCATCAAAAAGAAGGTTCACATCACACTAGAAACTGCTCCACTTGCACATTAAATGGCATCCCGTATCTGTTGTACCTCTCCATTGAAAAACAGAAGTCCCCTGCTCTTAAACCTGCAGGGATTTCACAGCAGCTGCAAGTACAAAGCTGCAGCAAAAGCCGAGGTGCCATCACATACAGCACAGGTGAAAAACATACAACACTGCTCTAGGAGAAACCTCATTTTCAGCCTACTGAGGCCTCATTCACACTGCAGGGGTTTTGTAATTTTTAAAAAAACTACTTGTCCAAGGAAAAAAAAGGGGGGGGGTCCCGATCTACTTGTCCCTCATGGAAATCTACTTGTCCCAATACAAACATTTTTTTACCCAAACTGTATTTAGCAGTGCCAAGAAGAGCTTCTCCTTGGTCAGCGCCGTCAGGTGACCGCGCTGACCGAGTGCTTGAATTCTGTGAGCGAAATTTAGAATACATGGTACAGATAGTACACCCGTACTGGCAGATGTACCTGAAAGGTAAGGTATAGCGGGGGGGGGCACTAGCAGCGCGATCGGCGGTGGTGTGCAATTCTGTGACCGCCCGTCCATCCACACGGTTTTGTGCACGATTGCCGACACACACACACACACACACACACACACACACACACACACACACACACACACACACTCATTCTCGCCCACACTCACATTGAATAGACAGACACCTGTTGGGACTATTTTTACTTACTAACTAAAGACACGTTTCTAAAGCATCTTATAGATTTCTGCTGTAAGATATACTATATTTTGTAATTCATCAAGCATCTTATAGACTCATTCTGTAAGATATACCATATGGTTTTAATTTTTTAGATTTTATCTTACCTTTTTTTATTTTTGCTTTTAAATAAATTTATCATTATTTTAACTATCGCTTTTTTATTTTTTCCATTTTTATGTATGTACATTTTTAATTGTTATATTTTATTTTTAACTTTTTTTTCTCACTTTATGGCTTTCACACAAGGGGTAACAATCCCTTGTGCGATAGCTTTTGGAGGTGACAGGTTCTCTTTATTGACCCCATCACCTCCAACCCAGGAGTTCTAGCACAGCACTGTGCTCGTTCTCCTGCGACAGGAAGGCTGCATTCCTGTGTCACTATTCATACGGAGGGGGGAGCGCGATTCAGGCAAGTGATTTTGGACGGCTGTACAGCTCCCACACTACATTTAGCCGGCTGCTTGCACGGGCGATAGGAATTCCACACCCCTGTGGTGGCTGAGGGGTGGTAAAGACAGGCGGTTGATCTGCGTTTTTACCGCCCACCTAAAACTCAACATAGCTGTCGCTCATGCTTATAAAACATGCTGTGACAAACCTGCCAAGTGTGACCATTGCAATCAATAGAACCGTGGCGCAAACATGTACCCACTGCAACACAATAGAGGAATCCCACTGGGATAGAAAAAAAAGTATTGAGAAGGACAACAGCTGCTAGTCTACCATCCTCTAGAAAAAAGGGACCCACCACGGATTACTTTTTAGAGGGGTAGTGGACTCAAGCACCCATCTGAATACAGCCTAAGTGTGTTTGCAGAGCCACTGCTGGGGACTTAATCAAAATGCCATTTATACACTTTATAAATTGCTCTAAAAACAATGGAAATGAAAAATTCTGACAGCACCTGTAATTAATTACTGTTCATTTAGGTGAATCCAATCACTGTTATCCAGGCACATGACAGGAGTATTATCTGACACAGCAACACAAACGCCTAGAGATTTATTTCTCAGTACCCACCAGCTGGCTGAATTAAAGAAAAAAGCTGTACATTAACCATTTGTCATCATGAATGATGAACTGTCATGAATTTCACCTTCCTCCTCATCAGGCAAATGTATATGTGCTTTATTCATGAAGATCAGCAAATTGTGATTTTCCTCCCCCCGAAAGTTGATTAAAGCACTTACCTTAAATGATGTCTCTTAATCCGATCTTCATCAGCCTTCTCTCCAGCGCGGCAACGGGTCTCAGATCCAGCGCCGTCTCCTCTGTCCTTGCTGGCACTTCCTGTCCAACGGTGTCTGCATGCGGGTGCACGCGTCCAGACTTAAACTTGTCTCTCGGCCGAAAATCTGAACTGCGCATGCGCCCTCCCCAAGATGCTTTGCGGCCGCCCGAGCATTTTCGGACGGTAGCGCGTGGGGAAGACAGGGGTAAGTTTAAACCGCTTTTAAAGCGTTTCTTTAAAAAAACAAAAACTTTTTGCATACATCTACTGCTTGCTAGCAGTAGATATACGAGAAAAAAAAAATACAAGTTTAAACAGAGTCCCGGCGGCAAAAGTCGCCGGGAGTCTGTTTAAACAGCCCCGATGCTGGCGACGTACACTGTACGTCGTCAGTCACGAAGGGGTTAATGTTATTTTCTTCTCCTACGCACAACAGCAGAACACAGCTTTGTAGGTTTCAGGGTACCTGCCATACTGATATGCTTTATGTGTTGTTTCGCATCAAAGAATGATTTCAATGTATGTTTCACATGCCAAAAATAACAGGACCATCTAAAAAAGGAAATTAATGTATCGAAAAAATAATCGCACCGTGGAGACAGTAGTGGATATGAGAAATACTGAAATATACACCTGGACATCAATATAGATAGACCCATGTAAAGTTTAGCCAACAGCTTTGTTTCTGATTTGCCATCAAAATCCTTCACAATGCTTAAAAAGGAGAACTATGAGGTGAGTGCTTTTCACTCACCTCATAGTTCTAGCTGACATGTGACAATGAAACTGTCACAGGTCGGCTCAGTAGATCGGGAAGTGAGCGAACACATACCACGTTCGCTCACCTCTTGATCATGTCACGGCTCTCTGCCGTGACAGGGGAGGGACTGGATTCCCCCCTCCCTGATCCTCCAGCGCTGACTGGCGGAACGGACGGGCAGGTACAGCTGGCTCTGCCTCTAGATAGGCAGAGCCAGCTGTCACTCACGCAGCTGGGCGGATCCAGACATAATTGTCGGGATCAGTTCCGGCTGCGGCGTCTCAGTATACCGCGACCTATACTGAGCTTTGGGTGATGGGAGGACGCTAGTTTGTGTCCTCCCGTTACCCGGAGAACTATGGGGAAAAGCCCTAACCCCATAGTTCTCCTTTAAGAGAACAGATTATATTTCCTGAATCAATATTTGTTTTAATAAACTGGCTACAAAACGGATAACCTAGGACAGCAATGAAACATTTAGTGCTGGGATAGAGGTTACTATTACTGCTCAATTGTAACTATTGTTATCATTAACTTCTGCATATGTGCCCTGCATATGAATGCTTACCTAGCAGTGTGCACAGCCCTATTCAAGTGTCATCTGCACGTTTCTAAGAGATATTGTCATTCACTAAGGCCTCATTCACACTGTCGCGCATATACGCACGTATATGCGCGCATTGTACCATATGCAAATAAATGGCTCCATAAACATAGCTGCGTATGGACCCGTATATTTGCGTAGCATAAAAATGCGCAAAAACAGAATGGAACCGTGATGCGTCCGCGCAGTGTATTTACGCGCATATACGGACATACAGTTCATTAAAATTTCTATTACGAATGATGCATTCTGGGATTGCTTATTGTGCACGTATATACGCACATATACAGTTTTGCATTGTGTGTGAATGATGCCTAATAGTCTTGCTGTTTAGAAGAAGCTGGGCTCACACTGGCCTCCACACAGGCTGAGCTAGATGTACTGTTTTTTGCCCCCAAAAAATGGAGGGGGAAGACATGAGCTTTAAAGGCTGGAAAAGGACACCACCCCCACCAGTCACACCCAATAATTAAATATTTCCTGAAAGAAGAGTCCCTGGAAAAAAAATGATGGGAACTACAATTGTTTATATTAGTATGCATATTAGTGCAACGGTTTATCAAACACCGTTAAAAAAAACACTAAAAAAAAAAAAAAAACATTAAAGTTAATTTTAGAGCACAAGAATGACAATTTGTTGGTAAAATATAAAAGATAAGGTTAAGTAAATAAACACGTCCAGCCTTAAAATTGCATGCATTTGGCACCCAAAATTGTACATAGGCCACTCTTTAAAAGCCTTTTCAGGTCATCCTGTAAAAAAAAAAAAACTACAGATAATCAATAGCTGTTGGAATTACATTAAAGTGTTATTAAACCCTCTGGGGGAAAAAAATATGTAGCAGCATACATTACATCACTATTGTTTCCCGCCCCCTGCAGTCTTTACAGCATAATCACACTTTGAAAATCTAGGTGGTTTTTTTTGAGTTTCTGCCTCCGTTCACATTTGCGATGCATGAATGTGCATTCCTGTGCGTTTGCCACACGTCAGCCATTCATTTGAATGGGCTGCCATACATGCAACAAACATTTTCAGCTGCGAGCTTCCTGCATTGCATGACACGCAGGCAAAAACAAGAATTTTACCGCCCACGCTTGGGGTACCATTAATAATGGCAGTGTTTGTGACGCACATTTTTAAACACATTGTGTGAGCTTTTGGCCCACATTCCCAAAGGGTCTCCCTGGAGCCACGTGTGTACCACTGAACCTACACACATTACTTGGTGCCGTGCCCAGGGGACACGTGCAGCTCTCTGCTGCTGTACTTGGCCAACGCATGCACAATAAAGTCAGTTAGACCGCTGGTGCAGTGTTAGGCCTAACCATGCACATAATAGCCAGCTAGTGCTCTGGTTCTGTTTGGAGGACACCCGCACAGTTCAGGCTGCCAGGGCTCCGATGCTGTGTTTGGAGGACACCCGCACAGTACAGGCCGCCGGTGCTGTGTTTGGAGGACACCCGCACAGTACAGGCCGCCGGGGCTCCGGTGCTGTGTTTGGAGGACACCCGCACAGTACAGGCCGCCGGGGCTCCGGTGCTGTGTTTGGAGGACACCCGCACAGTACAGGCCGCCGGGGCTCCGGTGCTGTGTTTGGAGGACACCCACACAGTGCATTCTGGTGCTGTGTTAGGAGTAGTGGCAGTGAACAAGGTATCACCGCACATGTGGTCCCGAAGATTTAGCTCCTGATGTGCGAAGCTCTAATCACAAAGATACCGAAAAAAGAAAGTCATACCAAAAAATTAGGAATTTGGGGCTCAAGAAAAGACATACATTAACTACTAGTTGGGTAGAGCTTAATATAAAGACATATAGATGACTAACAAAAAAATTAAGCCACCCCCACCAGTAATGTTGATCAGGTCTGAACCAGGGACATAATAAAAACTTAGTACACGTGACCCAGTATGAGCTTCCTTCCATTAACTCTGGGCAATCTTCCCCACCAATCAGAAAGCAGCAGCGGAGGGAACCTGGCACATATTTGTCAGGCACCGCACATCTCAATATGCCATTTGGTAATGACGCTGGCTGCTTTCTTCTGGCCTTGACAGGCAGCCTGCCGCACACATGTGACAATGACAGGCGAGCTCCCACGTGTACTTATAGTCCCATCTCCGTTAGGGAGTTCCCTATGGAGTCCAGCAGCATACCTTCTCCTGCTGGGTGTCCTGCGCCTCGCTCTTGTTGGCCTTGTCCTTCTTGACGTTCTTGGGCCCTACGCTCAGGGACACTAAGGAGGATTGCGACCCTTCCGGCGGCCTCGCTGACGACCTGCTGATGTTCATAGTGCTCTTCTCTTTCTTCTTCTTTTTGTCCCTCTTCGCGAAGAAATCATCCAGGCTCCTCTCGTTGGGCTCAGCCATGGCAGCGGTAGCGATAACAGGAGACGGAAGGGGTTATGTGAACACTGCACACGGCACGAACCGGTCACACTCACACACTGAGTGGATCGGCGAGGCCGGAAGCGCTGCCCACACCCGGGGTTAAACCATCAAGACGGCGCTGGTAGGGGTGACTGGCTGCGACTTTGCGCTCTCAGCTTACGTGGTGTACGATCACGTGTATATGGAACACCCCTCTCTGCTTTGGAGTAGTCTGGACTGCCTCGCGCTACTTTCTCAACCTAGAACGTGTCTCGCCGCTTGCGTTGCTCATTTTCTTTTTTTCGACAAATAACTTTATTAACAATGGAACATGGTGGTAGTCCCTGTGTTCCAGAAATACGCTACTTGTTCTGCTTTCTTTCGTTGTGTTATTTTAAAGTGGAAATTTGCAGGGAAAGATAACAATAAGCTGCTAAAAAAATGCAATTTTTGGAAAATGTAATTTTTTTTTTGAACCAGATTTCTGCCTACTACTTAAAGGCTCTATTGACAGATTCTGTCCATTTCCTGGAGCCTCCTGTGAAGGGTTATAAGCACTTCCTGGAGGCGCTAGTGATGACTTCCGTCCTCTTCCTGGAAGTGCAAGTGACAGCTTCCATTTGCTTCCTAGAAACACCAGTGACACTTCCTGGAGGCCCCAGTGGCAGCTTCTGTCCACTTCCTAGTGGGCCCAGTGAGGGCGTCTTCTGGCCACCTCCTGGAAGGCCTAGTGACAGTTTCCATTAGGGATGCACCGATACCAGTTTTTTGTACCGATATTTATATTGCGGTACTCACCAGTACCGGTAGCATGGAGCTGGCTTCCCAGGCAATCAGGAAGTTGGGCAGCAAGTCATTACCCACCACACATCTTCTTGATTGCCCGGGAAGCTGGCTTCATGCTGTTTGGCCAGCTCGATGCTGATTAGCCAGGAAGCCGGGTTCCCAGCCAATCAGCATAGAGCCGGCTGTTTGGCCATCACGATGCCGATTGGCTAGGAAGCCATTTTCCCAGCCAATCAGCATGGAGCCGGCTTCCTGGCCAATCAGGAAGCATGGAGCTAACTTCCCAGGCCAATCAGCATTGAGCCGGCTTCCCGGCCAATCAAGAAGCCGGGCCGCAAGTCATTACCCGGCTCCATGTTCCCTCGCGGTACTGCCGGTCAGAGGAAATCTCCCACTGACCAGAAGTTCCCATATCGGGGTAAGTATCCGAGCATTTGGACGAGTACCAGTACTCGCCCAAATACTTGGTATCGGCACCTCAACCATCACGTTGGCTCACACAGGGCTTGGGAACAAAGTGCCTGTGAGCTAAGTGGATTTGAGCTGTTTGGGATATATTGAGTGCTTGATTTTTGGAATACTTGTTGTCTCTGCTTCCTTCCTTTTTAGACCCTTTTTTAGTATTTAAAAACACTTTTTCCTTTTCTGTCAGTTTTTAAACTGTTCCCTTTTTTCCCCCTCATGTTTGCAGTGCTCTGGTTAGGGGGAGGGGTTAATTGTGCTCAGGTGTCTCTCATTGAGCAGGTGTATTATAAACTAGTGCACCATTCATTTTGAGCTTGCTCACACAGGGCTTGGGAACAAAGTGCCTGTGAGCTAATGGCGTTAAAAAATTGGTGTTTAACCTGTAAGTAACATCTTTATTTTCATATCAATTTGATAAATATTGCAATTGGGATCATAGTTGTTAGCATGGTTGAAGGGCTTGTTCAGTGCACACTGTGCCACATGTATGCACAAATGGAGCCACAGCTCCAAGGTGTATATCGCTGTGACAGATGTGAGCAGATTGCACTTCTGGAAGCTCAGATTAGACATCTGGAAGAGGGGAATGCAACACTGAGTAGACTGGACAACCTTGAGAGGAGTCTGCTGATCACTGAGCAGGCAGTTAATGGGGTTGATGTGGAGGGGTAAGTGAGGATGATCATGTAGGAAGCTGAGTTACTGTAGCTAGAGGGAGCGGCAGGGGCTCACATAAGAGGAAGGCCAGTCCTGTGTTTGTGCACCCAAACAAATTTGCTAAGTTGGGTGAAGATGTGTGGGTCTCAGAATTGGCAGCCCTAGATGTCACTGCTACCCCTAACAGCCGGGAGAGCAGCACATCTAGTCCGGGTGGTGAGGGTATTGCAGCAAGGCCTAGCCATGTTGTTATAATAGGGGATACTATAATTCGGAGGACTGATAGAATAGTTTGTCGCCCGGATCACCTCAACTGGATGGTTTGCTGTCTCCCTGGTGCCAGGGTTCGGCATGTGGTGGACCGGGTGGACAAATTACTGGGAGGGACTGGGCATGACCCAGCTGTCTTGGTCCATGTTAGGACGAATGACAGAATACATGGAAGATGGAGGATCCTTAAAAATCAATTTAAGGAACTAGGTTGCAAGCTGAAGGGAAGGACCTCCAAGGTAATATTCTCTGGAATATTGCCTGTGCCATGCGCAACGCAGGACAGACAGCGGGAGCTTAGAGAACTAAATGCATGGCTGAAGACCTGGTGTAGGAGGGAAGGCTTTGGGTTTCTAGAGCACTGGGCCGACTTTTCATTGGGGAACAACCTATATCAGGGGTGGCAAACTCAAATTCATCGGGGGCCGCATCAGCAGTATGGTTACCCTCAAAGGGCCGGTTGTATAGGACTATGCATCTACTCATAAAAAGTGCTAATAAAAGGGGAAACAAACAATAAAAAAATGAAAACTAACCTTGCCGCCCCTGCCATTCTCCATTAATGGGGGGGGGTTGGTGGGGGGGGGGGTGTATTGTGGAATCTGGCCTTGGGGCGGCAGGGAGAGTAAATCCCTGACCATACACATACCTTGTTCTTGCAGTCTTCTCTTCCCTTCCTTAGCAGCAGGGGAGGGGCGGCGATTTGCATATGAATGAGCCGTGATATTTACATATGAAAGGGTCGTGGCTTATTGATATGCAAATTACCGCGGCCCATTCATATGTTAATATCTCGGCCGGTACCGGGACAGTGCAGGCTGCAGGAACAGCACCAGCAAGCTCCGGAAAGAGCACAGAGTAGAGAGGGCTGGGGGAGGAGGTGTTTCTCTGGCCTCCCCCACCAGCGCCCTCTAGTGTCTACTGTGTGGTAGTGCCGGCTCTGCTCACTACCACACAGTAGACACTGCTCTGCACAGAGTCGGCATAGCGGACCGGCCCTGGCTGCTGTGCGGGCCTTGTGTTTGCCACCCCTGACCTATATGCTAAAGATGGTCTGCACCTAAATGGTGTGCTAGGGGAGAGGTTCATGGGAGGGTTGGAGGAGTATTTAAACTAGGATGAAGGGGGAGGGAAAGATGGAATATAGTGGGGCAGATATGTCAAACAGGGGTTGAGCTATAATGGAGGCTGGAGCAGGGCAAGTTGGGGGGAGGGAAATCAAACTAGATAAGGAAATTCCCATGTTGCACACAAACATTGCAAATGATGGTACTGATTGTACTACACCAAAAGATACAGCAATTACAAGTATAAAATGTAAAAACGTCTTTAATTGTTTGTTTGCCAATGCCAGAAGTCTGCACAGCAAAATGGGAGAACTGGAAGCTTTGGTGCATGAGGAGAACTATGATATAATTGGTATTGCTGAATCTTGGCTTGGTTCTTCACATGATTGGGCTGTTAATATTCCTGGTTATACTCTCTTTCGAAGAGAGAGGGTAAAACGAAAAGGTGGCGGGGCTTGTCTCTATGTGAGAAGTGATCTTAAAGTGAGTGTGAAAGAGGACTTTGTTGATGGTGAGTGTGATGGTGCTGAGGCGTTATGGGTGCAGTTGTACACTGGTATGCATAACGCAAAGGTAATTGTTGGAGTTTGTTACAGGCCCCCCAGCGTTACTGAAGAGATAGACTCAGCTCCTTTAAACAAATAGAAAGGGCTGCCAGGACGGGGACATTAGTATTAATGGGAGATTTTAATTATCCTGACATTGAATGGCATAATGGCACTGCTGGAACAGTAAAAGGGCGGACATTTATAAACTTATTACATGATAATTTTATGGTACAGTTTGTAGAAGCCCCAACTAGAAAATATGCTCTGCTGGATTTGGTAATCTCAAACAATGCAGAGCTTATTACAAATATTAATTTAAAAGAACATCTGGGTAGCAGTGACCATAATATGATTTTATTTAGCTTAAGTTGTAAACAACATTCACATACTGGAAAAAAAGACGCCTGTCTGCAGGTGGAAAGGAGACATCAAGGTGGCTGTGATCGATTTGACCCCTTGATCCTCATCACAACCCTTTTCCTCATAGCCAACATAGGACAGGTATGTGCACCTCTTATGTAGATTTATGTTTGTACATTACATTGCACACTGACACATTAAAATGGGCAGTTAATGGCCCTCAAGCATAGGAGCTTCGGCCGGAAACCACTTTCAAATACGCAACCATTATAATGAGGTGGGTGGCTTATTATTTGTATTGCAGTTTTAAGTTTGGTTTGGTTTAACATTGCACACGTGGGGGGGGAGGGGGGTGGATAGAATATACAATTTTTTTCACTGTTTATTATAGTCTTCTATTCAAGTTATGGTACACAAGGGCAAATGTTTTTTAAGAAATATATTGAATAATTCACTCATTTGATGACACTTCTGGAGGAGATAAGTCATTCTGCTACGTGCAAATTACATTGAACACACAATAAGAGTCTTGGAGAAGTTGCTAAACACCTCCATCATCTCTACTGGGACAAATACCACTGCAATGTCCACCATATTAAGATAGATATTAAGGTACGGCACTTTAGTTACTTTAAAAGTTAGGATCACAGTGAGCCCTGTATATAGGGCAAATGTATGCACATATAGGTAGGGTACACGTGTGTATATATATTTACTTTTAATTAAGAGGATGGGTGGAAACACATGGAAGCTAAATGAAGGGGTCTTCCGGTTGAATTGTCGAATCACCTATGCACCTTCGTTTTAGAACGGAACCGTATACAGATGTACTTGTATGGCTATGAGATATGGGATGTGTTTAAACTTGCTATGCGCTGAATACTAAAGGAATGCAATCATGTAAAAAACAGGTCCATGGATGTTGGAGTAAAAGAACACTACAAGATAGGTGTAGGCAACCCCTTCTCTCCTGCGTGGACTGGTGGTCCCTCCCTCC